TATTTGAGTGATTAAAAACAGGAAAACCCCTGAAGGGCAATTAGCCAACACAGTCATATTGGCCTGAGACAAGAGATGAAAGCAGTGTAGTAGGGTTTGCCTTCCTGTGTCCCTCCCTCCATGCCATTCTTGCTTTTATTTCTATGGTACTTAATGATTGCAACATGTTATACTTAGCCCTGATTTACTGAATAAATTACAGTTGGTTTATTCAAATAAACCACATTATGACTTGGATGATTCAGGCTTCCATCTCTTCTGGCCTGTCCAATCATTGCATTACTGTGCTCTTCACCCATTCTTGAATTGCCACAAAACATGCCAGTGTAAAATCTGCTCTTACTGTTGTCAATCCCTAGATTACCTCTATCTCCCTTTATCCCCCAGCCCACTTGGGAGATATAGTCAAAGTAGTGTGAAATGAAGACACCAAAAGATAGCAGAACAGAAATAACTCCAGACAAGAAGGAGGCAGGCTCTGCCATCATTATTTAACTAGCTGAACCCTGTAAAGTTGAAAAATATAATTGAACACTTGATGGAGGAGGGATAATATGTGAATTTAACAAAAATAGGGAAACTAGCAGATAAGCAAAAAAAAAAGTTCAGGATTTCACAGTTTCTGGACATTACAATGAAGTACAACAGGGTGGCTATTTCATTAAAAAGTAAAATGCTCACAAATGCCCATTTCAGAATACTGTTAGAATGTGCCCTCTTTTCCCTAAAAAAAAAAAAAGATGGATGTCGTGCTCCTGCTGGAGAGAAATTGATTTGAAAAATGGCATTTCAACATTCCCAGATGGAAAGTGGTAACAGAATAGAAGAGAAAGGACTGTGGTGGAAATTGGCTAGTGACCAGAGGAGAAGAATCTGCGTACTCCCAAAAGATATTTGTCAAACATGCCCACAACAATAAAACTAATGTTACTGTACTTCTAAGATGGGTGCCAGATGACATGATACAGATTTTACACATATTGAAGCTTGGTGGAGTAATGTTGGTTTAAAGGGGGAAAATGTGCTACTTAAATATCGTTAGATAGAGAATATATCTATGGCCAGTGTCTTATTAAGCAGGAAAATTGAGATTGTCAAAGGGCCTCATAGTTACATTGCAGGTAGGACCAAAACCACCCCATATTTCCATCCCCTCTTTCAAAGAGTTGTAGATTTCCTCCTCCCCTCTTGCGCAGAAATACAATAGCTGCTTTACTGAACACATATTGCTTAGGCATTGGACAAAATTTGTCTAGTAATAATTGAATTGTGTTTGACTACCTCTGCACCAGTTCTATCTGGAGAGCAATGAGTGCTGTGATTTAGTGTGTATATTTTTGACTATATATTTGCCACTCTTCCAAGTTAATTGTTCATGCCATCATTTTGCAGCACAGAAATGTGAACAGGTTACCTATCTTGTTGACCCTTCATTATTTGTATATTTGTATATCTATGTCATATATCCTGTTATATAATCTTTTCAATCCTTTCTAGTGGAAAGCCTTATTGAAGTCATTTTTGGGGGGGGGTGTTCAGAAGTTCTTTATACTCCCTTCTTTGTCTCATTAGGGATGTGTGTCTGTGTGTGTGTGCAAGGACACATATTCTATTTTTGTTCTTTGTTTTGGTTAATGTATAATCTTTCTTCAAGAGGGCACTAGAGGTGGCCCTTGGCTCCAAATTTAACCAGTTGGTTTAATGCTTCCATCACAGTAATGACAAACTTTATCTCAGTGGCACTAACACCTTGTCCAAGACCTTGAATAAAATCTGTGCTCTATAGCTGGAAAATTCTTGATTCCATCACCTAGCTGCCATTTCCTTTGGAATAGTTCCATTTTTCTCCCAGTTCTTTGGAAGATGCTGTGGGAGACTATGAACAAAACCAATATAAGGTTATTGTAAAAGAATATTTTTTCCACAATTTTGAAAGGGCTGTTGGTTTTTAGTATTCCTCAGATTACTTCTAATTTTGAAAAACAAATGGTGAGGAGGAAAGTATCAAATTCTACCTTCAACAGATGAAGAGATTGTAGAACATAGAATAGTGTAGGATAGTGGAAAGCTCATGCAAGTCACTGTTTAGGTTTATAGTATATTCCATCCAAGAGCTGAAAGCAGTGAAAAGACTGTTTCTCTTCCTCCGTATAACAGCTCCATGGGATAGGTTGGGGTGGGAGAACACTGCTGGACCCAAGTGAAATTCTATAGGCAAACATGTTCCTGAACTGGGCCTCCCCTTTGTCAATCCAACGCCTTAATCACCATACCAAACTGGTGTATTTATAATATCACTTCTGTTTATTATTGCATTATTTGGACTGTGATACAATCTGTGCTTATTCAAGATAGCTACATTGTTTTCTATGCACATGAAATTTAACCACCTTCATAAACTCCCCTGTTCTATGTCAATAAAGGAGATAGTTCTGAACACACATTAATTTACAAGTAAATTATCAGCAGTTGGTGGGAATTTTGATGACAGAAATGTATATCTATGGGATTTTGTTATTAGATAATAAATACCCGGAGAATTACAAGTCTAATGGGAACTTGCAAAACCTTATCAAGTTTAAAAAACTTGAATACCACAGTAACAGTTACACTCAGGGCTTTTTTTTGTCATGGAACGTCCAGAATGGAGTTTCGACACCTTTTTTGGATGGAACCTTGTAGGGTAGGCAAGGCGGGTTGTATGACATGTGTGAGTTCCAGCACCCTTTTTTTTTTTTTTTTTTTTTACAAAAAAAGCACTGGTTACACTAAATGTCAATTAAAGTTGGCATGCATATGCATTCCCATGAAAGATAGTACCTGCTGCCAGCTGGATACATGGCATATTTTAACAGACAAAGCTAACTCTGAATGATGTTTGGACTTTCCCCTCTGTGAAATGATCTCCACCAATCCACGAGTAGCCAGAACATGAAATTTACTGTCTGCATTACTAATCCCTGTCTTGCCTATAGCCTCTGTTTTACATCCCTGAATTTCCTCCAGAGTAAGAGGTGGGACAAAGCTAAGATTTTATACTGTATGTGTTGAAACTGCCAACAGACAACAGCAATGATGGGCAAAGGAAAAGAAATGGCTTTAGCCTTAGTACCAATAAGAATGTCTCAAGGTTGTCTCATGGATAAAGTAGGGAAGAGATAGAGGTTATATCATGAGGATGCAATTAAAAAAAAGTTGCCAGGACATATTTTCCCAGTGGATAGGTGTAAGAAAAAGTAGGAAAAATGCCTTTTTCGGGGTTTCGTTGTTGTATCCACAATGTATTGTTTAAACTATCCATTCGTTGCCAAGTGTGCCCTAGGTGCATTGAAATCTTCCATAATCCCTATCTAACATCTGAAATCCAACATATCTGGAGCAGTGGTGGGTTTCAGCCAGTTTGCACCACTTTGGCAGAACCAGTAGCTAATTTTTTGTTGCCCAGGCCCAGAATGGACTTCTGGAAGCAGCATCCACACAGAGAATGGGTTGTTCACATATTTGAATCCCACCACTGATCTGGAGGTATCATATTGGGGCAAGCTATTTTAAGAAGAACATTTTCTAAATGAAACATCCCCTTGGGAAGGGAGTTTAATCTTTAAAAATAATAAAAACAAAACATTTTATAGTTTTAAGAAAGTCAAGTGAAATCTATTGGCAGATTCATAACTACCTTTCTTCCATTTAAGCCTCTGATATTTTTCAAAAATATCAGGAAGTAGAAAAAGTTAAATATGTTTTAACTAGGTCATGGGTGTCAAACTCACTGGATCACATGACGTGTCGTGATGTATCACAACTTTTTTTGCATTGCTGGAGCTGGGGTGGGTGTGGCCTCCGTATGATGCAACCAGCCATGGGCTGGCACTTTGACACCCCTGAAGTAGGATCTTCAAAAGATATGTAAACTGCACTGGAGACTTTAGCCCAATTGGATGCATGCATTCTCAGAGGTAAGAAGTAAACATATCTATTAAATATCCAAAAACTAGAGTTAATCACTAGTAATTACATATGAGACTGTGCTCTTGAAAATGATATCTTAGATTTCTGATTATTTAAAATACATAGTAAAAAAAACTCACCTAGAAACTTCACCAGAACACACATTAATAATATTGTGATCTAGTTTTATTAATAAAATATTCTAATGAAATCTAAGGTCCAGCTTTAGTGGCTGAAAGATTGGAGCTGATGTGATTTGCCAAAATAAGGTGTGTTCATATGTTTCTGTAGGAGGTGTGATAATGTGTAATATTTTCCCACTAAAAGTAAAGATAGGTCATGGTTATGCAAAATGTAATTGCCTAGCCAGTTGTGTTTATGCATATTTCATGACCTTATGATGTTCTAAAGTTTTCATACAGTTTGATTTTATAGTGATTTGGTACTTGGCAATTAACCTCCCCACCCCAGGCATTCTGAGTGTAATTGTTCAAGAAAAATATGCAGGGGAATAGGTAGAATATCATATTTCTATAAGAAAGCCTTCCCCACTGGGGCCTTCTGTATGCTAAGACTTTACTGCCAACGTAGTCTTAGCAGAAAAGCTTGCCTGGCTCCACATTTGCAGTCACACCATTCACTAGTAATTTTGAAATTCTATACCAGCAATAAATCAAGATATCTCACTAAAAGGTGGAAATTGAAAATGCATGTCTAAACTTTATCTACCAATTAACAAAGACGGTGTTACAATTTCGTAGTTAAAGTGGCCTAGTCCTTTTGATTGGCTACATCTATGGCTTACACATCTTACAAATGGCTCAATAGAACATACAGTAGTGGAAAGCTCTTAACAGTTACCAATTTCAAAAAGAAAAGGCACTTATGTTTTTCCAACCCACCCAGGCTTCGTATAAAACGAGAAAACTGCAAAATTTTGCTCGCTATTCTGATATAGGACAGAGCGATCAACATGTACCGCAGGGTTCTACGTGTTCTAAAAGTCTCTTCTAAAGTCAGGGAAATAGAGAAAAAAAAGCGAAATATAATGCCGAAGAACCGTAGAGATACGTCTTTTTTTTTTAAACTGCAATCGAGAAAATTGATTTTTGGAATGTATTTTTAAATGCGTTCCTCTTTATGCCCAGGTTTCTGGTTGCAACATCGTACATGGCTAGTTCAATATTAACAGTGATTTGCTGGCGGGGGAAGAATTAAAGATGCGCCGAGAACGAAGGCAAGTCTGCTAATCGACCCTCAGCTACCCGGGCGGTGTGTAGTAACTGAGAGCTAGAGCTCTCGCCTCTTCGCCCGCCTCCTTTGTGGGCGGGGATCAGCTGCGATGGGGTTAGGTTGCGTCTCCCTGCGTGTGTCTATAACTTTGTGTTGCCGCTCCTGGATGTTAGGAGAAGGAATGTGGAAGTCGGTGGAGGGGAGGGCGACAGGTTGCTTGAGGGAACGGCAGCAGCTCCAGCGTTTCTCTCCCGCCGCTGCTTCGCCGCTTGCTTTCTCCCTGGGGAGGGAGCCTTCTCCCATCGGTGGGATTTTTCTCATTTTAATGCTTCTTCTGCTACTTAAAGTGGAACGACTCGGGAACGGCTCCAAAATCAAGAATCCTGCAGTAGCGGGAGCAGCGGCAGAATCGGCGCCTCGTTTTCCTCCCGTGCATTTGGAGCTGGATTTTCTGCCGCCCCAGCGGGTTCGGGTTTAAGCTTCGCCTCGGAGACTGGCGCTTCTCGCTTGCTCTTTCGTTCGCCTGCTTGACCACTCGCCCTGCCTTTTTGCCGACGCTTTTTTAAATGACTTGAGTGGAGGGGGAGGGGGGGGGAAACTGTCAAGATGGCAGCAGCGGCGGCAGCAGCAGCGAGGAGGTTATGAATGTGGTGGTGCCGATGCTGGAACAAAACCTCGGGAGGCTGCGGAGGACTTGGGTTTTCGGACCTGTTGGAAGATCGGCGATTTGACTTGTTTGAATTCTCCGCGTCACTTTCTTTTACGCCGAGGAAGAGGATTTAAAAGAAGGCGAAGGGAACCGACAGGCGTTTTAAGTTTCCTCTCTTAGTTAAAAAGACTGGCTCTCTTACCGCCCTACGCCGCTTTCGGATTTCTTTTTTTCCTTTTTTCGGAGGAAGAAGAAGAGGGATCGCAAATGGGGCAGCCGCGATCGGATGGGTGTTAAGGCTTCGGTGCTCTCCGTGAAGGCGTTGGGAAGTCGGTGACGGAAGGACTTGCAAAGACCGAAGGCGTCCGCCAAACCAGCAACCGAGAGACTGGCGAACATCTCTTTTTTTAAATTAAAAAAAAAAAATGATGCGGGGGGTCGCGGGAATGGGGTCTCTTTAATAGCTACAGAGCGATGCTATTGGAGGACTCCAGCGCGTAGCGAAAGATAAACAAACGCGCGGGCGCAGAGCCGCGGTTTGCTTCCAGCCCCGCCGTCTTTGGAAATGCTTCCCAAATTGGTCAGCCTCAAAGGGCAGCGAAAAGAGAGCTGACCTGGAACCGGGGGGCTCCCGGATCGCTTCCCGATCGCCTTAGAACTTTTCCTTTCTCCGGCGGGGGAGGCGAGAGGTAGCGGGCAGGAAGGAGGCAGCCGGACCTTTAATGGGGAGCGGCGTGCTTGCTCGAGCTCGCTAATCTCTGCCAGGAGCTGGGCGAGGAGAGGGGACCGGAGCGCGGTGGATCGGGTTCCCGTCTGACAGCGGGAAGGACAGAAGGGTCGCCTCAAAAGCGGGGGGAGGCCAAGATGGCTGAGGTGTCTCCCCCCGCGCCCTTGTCCCCTCTGGACGTGGAGCTGGACCCGGAGTTCGAGCCCCAGAGCCGTCCTCGCTCCTGTACGTGGCCCCTGCAAAGGCCCGAGCTCCAAACGAGTCCGGCCAAGCCCTCGGGAGACGCGACCGCCGACGACGCCTCCATGATTCCCGAGGAGGACGACGACGCTGACGACGAGGAGCAAGGGTGCACCTCAACCGCCACCGTCCCCGTCGGCGCCGGCGAGGCTCTTGCTTCGGAGGACACGGTCCGCCTGCTGGTTCCCTTCTCCGGATTGCCCGGTGAGGGGTCTGGCGCGGGCAGCTCTGCGTTGACCGGCGGGCAGCAGCCTCAGCCAGTGGCGGCGGGCACGGCGGCCGCTCCGCGAAAATGTTCGTCCCGGAGAAACGCGTGGGGCAACTTATCGTACGCGGACCTGATCACCCGCGCCATTCAGAGCTCGCCGGAGAAGCGCCTCACCCTGTCCCAAATCTACGAGTGGATGGTGCGCTGCGTGCCCTACTTCAAGGATAAGGGCGACAGCAACAGCTCGGCAGGCTGGAAGGTAAGCGGGGACTGCGAAAAAAAAAAAAAGAACTTGGTAGGGGCGCATGAAAGGGTGGCCGGTGTTTTCCGAAAGGAATGGACGCGTGGATCGTCCAGCCACGGGTGGACTCTTGCCAGCCGGATCCTAATTGGTCCTGGGATGAATGAAAGACCCGCTTTCCCGTGGTGGACTACATGCGGCATCTGCGATGTCCTCCTCCCAGGTTCTGGGTGCTGCCTCAGAATTACATTCAGTCACCGATTTTCCAAAGGGCGGGAAAAATACCCACTCTTTTACGGTGTTTTTTTTTTAAACTATGATTTTCAGGAATAATGCAGTGGTTCAATGAGCCTGTTAAGAATATCCCATTTTAGTCCATTCAACTGACCAGCTAAGATTGGTTGAACTCTTATAATAAATAAAGATGAGTGGTAATTATCACTCAGACCACTTTTTGACACAATTTGGCAGAGAGGAAGCTTTTAAAAAGTGGATGTTTCTATAACAAGAGGCACTTTCTTCCTCCTGTGTGCACAACAAATACACTAAGACTGTTTCCATTATTAGTTCATGCTGTTTGTCAAATGTGAGTTCAAAAAGTGCTTATTACTGAATGAAAGATGCATCATGGTCAGACTGCTCCCTGTAGCACTTTGTTCATGCTGTGCCAAAGGATTTAGTTCAGGCTTATGCCACGCACCCACTGCAGGATCAGTTAAGATATCACAGGGTGCACAACGGCTCAGTTATCAGCCCAGAAAGAAGATCAGACCCTTCCAAGAAGTGGGTTGCGTTGAGTCCTCTGTGGATATTTCCAGAGGGGTACCTTCTTAACAATGCCTAAAAATATAGGTTTGCTTCTAATTTCTAGGGATGACATCAAATTCATCTTATTCTGCCTAGTATATTTTCTCAGACAGAGATTGAGTATTAGTGACACTGGTGAAGACAAAACACCATGTAGTTGGAGGTACGGTGAAAAGAATAATTCTGTGATGTAATTCCCTCTTCTCCATTGCTATGTGCTCCTTCGTCTCAGCTGCTGTTCCCTAGTCTTAGCTGAGCTGAATATAATCTGCGACTGTCAATAGTAAAGCAGATAGCTTATAACTTACATCAACAATGAGCGTGTTGGGTAGTTTCGATAAAATTCCAAAGATTGCTCCCAGTGCTGCTTTGCATTAAAAAAAAAAAGAGGATAGGGGTATATTTTAATATCTGTCAAGTTTAGATGATATTGAGTGCATGCATGTACATTTTGTGAGTTATTACTTGACTACACACGGAATTTATTTTTCCCCCCAATTTTAATTGCTATATGAGGACAGCCTTTCCTTCAACATTATATCCACACTCAGGTTCTGAAGTTATTCACATCTGAAATCTTTTTTTGTTCTTGTTAAGAGGAGTTTTAGTTGCTAATATTTTCTCTGACATTCTTATAACATGAAGAGGTCCTGTGTATTTTTAGCTTATAAAAGAGATGATTGAGTGGGTTATGATAGCAGTGTCCAGTATCTGAGAGATTCTAATGTAGGAGTGGGTTTTAGTTTTCTGTTGCTCGAGGTGCAAGATTTGAACAGGTATGTTAAAACTACAGGTAGTCCTCGACTTACAACAGTTTGGGTGTGACTTAGGACTGTTTTTCAGTTACGACCTTTGCAGCATCCCCTTAAACATGTGATCAAAATGCAGATGCTTGGCAACTGGTTCATACTTGTGACCGTTGCTGTGTCCCAAGATCATGGGATCACCTTTTGCGAGCTTCTGACAAGCAAAGTCAACGGGGAAGCCGGATTCACTTAGCAACCAGGTTACTAATTTATCAACTGCAATGATTCTCTTAACAACTGAGGCAAGAAAGGTCGTAAAATGGGGCAAAGCTCAACTTAACAAATGTCTCACTTAACAACATAAATTTTGGACTCAATTGTGGTTGTAAGTCGAGGACTACCTATACAACGGAGTTGGTTTATTCTAGATATCAGGAGGATATTTTTAACTGTACGAGCAATCAGCCACTAGAATAGGCTGTCATATGAAGTGGTGAGTTCTCCCTTACTGGGATCTTCAAGATCGGCTAGAATGCTAGATGGTCATTTTCAGAGATGCTGTAGCGCAGCGGCTCCCAACCTTTTCTATACCCCGCACCCCTACAACACTTCTGATATATTCTCACACCCCTTACAAAAGTTCGAAATAACGGCAATGAATTATGCACATATACTATAATTTTGAAAACCCAAGTTTTTGCACCCCCGGTTGGGAACCCCTGCTCTAGCGGATCCTGCTCTGAAGCAGAGGTTTGATTGGATGACTTCCAAGATCTATTACATTTTGATACTATGACTATAGAGTGCTGTATCAGCTGTTTATTTCAGAATTTAATTTCACCGTTGGGTAAAAAACAAAACATACAAAATCTAAATAGAGACGCTTTTTTTTTTTAAAAAAAAAAGGTGATGATATAGCCACAAGTGTTGCAAAAGTATAATAGTAATCAATTTAAACATCTGGGAGCAAAGTATTTTGCTTGGTTATTACAGGGAAACGTTGGTAGCTATTTAAGAGTGAGGGAGATCCTCTCTTATATTGTCATATTATACATTAGATATTTTTATTTTATATATTTGTATCCCACCTTTATTATTTTTACAAATAACTCAAGGCGGCAAACATACTCAACACATTTCCTTTTACTATTTGCCCCACAGCAACAACCCTGTAAGGTGGATTGACTGAGAGAGAATGACTGGCTCAAAGTCACCCAGCTGGCTTTCATGGCTAAGGCCAGAACTCACGGTCTCTTTCTTTCTAACCTGGTGCCTTAACCACTAGACCACATTGCCTCTATATCCTTGTATAAACTATACATTTGTTTCTATCAGAGAAGTGAATTTTCTAAAAAAATTTTTGAATAACTGTAAGAAAGTTGAACTTGCAACATAACTCTTAACAAATAGTTTTACTAGTGAAGTGGTATTGGGAATGGAACTTTGGCATGGTTTTATTATTTTAAATCCATGAACTGCTCTTGAAAGCATGCTGTTTTACATATGTTACATGCAGGTAGCTGTTTGTGCCAAAGATAATTTAATTTCACTCAGTCCGAAATGGCATTTAGTAGGATTCTGATTTGGTCCCTGTTGCTTTGAAAACAAATTGGTTTTTGGGAAGGCATTATGAGACATGATGGACTATATGTTCCATTGAATTATATAGGAGTAACTTCATAATGCATAGGTCAGGCTATAGTTGAAGAGTGTATGTATATTTGCTGTTTGACCATATCCTTCTCATGAGCAAATGGAGTACTAGATTCCTATCACCATTTGATTTTTTTTTTAAGAAAAATTGTTTTAGACACAGCAATGCACAGCCTGTCTCTTCCTTTTTTGAAACATCCATGTCCTTTTTCAAGTTCAAATGTTTGGTTTAAGTACTGTAGTTAAAATGCTGCTGATTTCAAGAAGAAACTTAGGATTTTTAAGTGCCTTAATTTCTGTGCTATTCCTGTGCTCAAGATTACAACTTTTCAAAACAGTTTTTTCTAAAGTAGATGTTGAAATAGCTCACTGTCTTTTCAAGTGTTTATGTATTATAGCATTTGCCCTTTAAGGCAGCGGCCCCCAACCCCCAGTCCATGGACTGGCACTGGTCCGCGGCATGCCATAAACCGGTCTGCGCAAACAAGCAAAGCCATCCTCGGGATGTAGGCAGCACACAAAACCACGCACCCTCCGGTCCGCGAAAAAAACCTCTCTCCACGGAACCGGTCCCTGGTGCCCAAAAGGTTGGGGAATGTCTATATGTGGTTTTGTGTTAAAACAAATCTTAAACTTGTTCATCTAATACATCCCTCTTCTTCCACAGCTCATATCCCACTCTTACATCAGTCCAATCATTCCGGGGCACATATGTGATGGAAAGAAAGAATCACCAAGATAGGGCTCTACTGGGGGATTTGCAGTTCTAGAGATACTGCTGAACAATAATATTCAATATTTTTTCTCTTCGAATATAATTGCTAGGACTGCAAACTTCACCAATATTTCTGCACCCTTGACAAAGAGGAACAGTATTGTGGGGTAGCAAGAATTTTGATGAGATTTATGTTCAGATCTCACATAGCTAAAAAATCTTACTGTGTGACCTTTTCTTCCTTTTTTTTTTTCCCTAACCTCACAGGTTTGTTGTGAAGTTGAACTGCGTAGACTACTAGAGTAACAGAAGTGTGCTTCAAGGTGCTTATGGCCCAATCCACTTCACACCACCCAGCCATTTTTTTTTCCTGGATTGGAAACAGTGTAATTCCACTTTTCGACGAAGTATAGAATAAAATCATAATGCAGTAATACGATTCATTCATACAGTATTCAGACCCTCTTCACTTTTGTTATGCTGCAGTCTGATTCTACAGTTTTTGAAATTCATTTTTTTCTCATTAATCCACACTCAGTACCTTATAGTGACAAGGTAAAAACAGAATTTTAAAATGTCTGTAAATTTACTAAAAAGAAAAAACTGAATATCACATTGGCATAAATATTCAGACCCTTCACTCAGTACTTTGTTGAAGCACCTTTGGCAGCAATTACAGCTTCTAGTCTTTTGGGGTATGACACGACAAGCTTTGCATACCTGGATTGGGAGATTTTCTGCCATTCTTCCCTGCAAATCCTCTCAAGCTCGGTCAGGTTGGATAGTGACTCAGTGGACAGCCATTTTCAGGTCCCTTCAGAGATGTTCAGTAAGGTTGAAGTCAGGGCTGGGCCACTCTAGGACATTCAAGGAGTGGTCCCTAGGCCATTCCTGTATTGTCTTGGGTGTCTGCTTAGGATCATTGTCGTTGGAAAGTGAACCTTCAGCACATTGTGGAACAGGTTTTCACTGAGGATATCCCTGTACTTTGCTCCATTCAGCTTTCTCTCAATCTTGACCAATCTCTCAGTCCCTCCTGCTGTAGAAAACCCCCATAGCATAATGCTGCCACCACTTTGCTTCACTGTTGGGATGAT